GCTGCGGGACCAATCCAGCAGCACCGCAGCTGCTCTGCCTCAGGCGTGTCCGATTCAGCCGCTGCTGGTCAGTTTCAACAGCGGCTGAATCTGGACGCCAGTTCCAACTTACATGCAAATTCAACTTAAGAACAAACCTACAGTCCCTATCTTGTACGTAACCCGGGGACTGCCTGTATCTGGATCTGTAATAAATTTAAGCAGCCATTGTGTGTGTAAACCTTTGGATGAATTTAATGGTGTGTGATACAGGCATGAAGATTTCATTATTGGCTCCTTAAATAATTTTGTCAGTGTAGACAAATATGTTAGGCAAAAGCAAACATTTAAAAAAACTTATTAATGTGAATACCATCATTAATATATTTCAATAAAAAAGTTTGCTTTTATTTACATTTTCTGAAATGTTTATAACTACTTTTTCATATGCTGCAACATTGTACATGCATGAGAATCAGTAAAAGTGAATTGTCTTGGTCAAGCTGAGTAATATGAAAAAGTAAAGATGCAACATCAATGATGAAAAGTAAACTAACTTTTAACACTCATTAACTTAACGTAATTTTACATTTTCTTATGTTCTGTGTTAAAATGATTTTTAACCACACAATGTGCCTTTACCTTTTGACTAAATATAAATTCTATAGCAATTATTTAAATATTCATCATCTGTTGGTGGCACTTCTTTAGAGGAATCGGATATTTTTTCTGAAGTGAACCTATTAACATCTTTTTAATTTACTTCTCTACTTGAGCAGCTGATTCAGTGTTAAGATGCAGGCAAACAACTAAGGGGGATATGTAAGACAGAAATTGTATTCTATGTAGTGTAACCTAATGAATAAGTAGCTACATATTTTTGCCCCTAATTCAACAGAAACGGTTGGTCAGCTTAATATTGTTACATAGCCAACAAGTTCATATGAGGTTACTTGTTGGCAGTGCATTAGCGGTACACTAGTTATGAAGTACTATCAGTTGACTATATTTTTAGAAGTGAGATTAAACGTTGGCAACTGATTCAAGGCTCAGTTTGATTTATAGCAAGGGTCTCAAACTCATGGGCAGTGTTCCTTCTAAATTGTGGGGCAGCACTGCTTCACAGGTAAAATTACTCAGGCCCGCCCAGTCTGTCAGCTCTGTTCATGGAGCCCTGAGCCTCTGTGAAGCTGTGCTGCTGAGCAGCATAGAGGGAACATTGCCCATGGGCCATCTATGGCCCAAGCATTTTCACGATCTGGCCTGGAAGTCCCTGTGGCCTGAGGGGTAGTGTACCCATCCTCTTCCCACCTCTTTCTACACCCGCCCTACCCCGAACAGAGCCTTGGGGATTACCAGGGGGCTTGGCATGGGGCAGCAGCAGGGGTTGGACACCCCCCATCCCCCCGCAGTGGCAGGAGTTGCATGTGTTCTGCTTCCCCACAGCTCCCATGACCATGGTGAGTGCAGTAGAGTCAAATCCATGCTGCTGCCCCACACTAGGCCCCCTTCGTAATCCCTGGGCTGTCTCTCTTAGGGGAAGGGACATAATGGAGGAGACAGAGCAAGGGGAAGGGGTGGGGTTTGGTGGATGGGTATGGACATGCTCCTTCCAGACTGCAGGGATAGTGAAAATATTCGGGCAGTAGATGGCCCTGTGAATCATGTGTTTGAGACCCCTGATTTATAGAGTTATTCTCATTTGAAATCTTAAATTTTAATATGCTAACTGCATACAAAAATGCTTTAATCATGTTCACACTGTTTGCATTGTATCTTAAAAATGTCTCTGATTTCTAATTGTATTATCATTTATATGTATTGCAGTTGTCCCTACACTATTAGTCACAGACCAGGGTCTTGTGCTAGCTGCTATGTGAACACAGAACAGAGATACTTCCTGCCACAGAGAGATTAAAATTAACAATTATAATTGAGTCTTTCTAAATATGTAGAATAATTTTATCTCAGATTAATAATACAGATTAAATGCAGTATGGTTTTGTTACTAATTGTCTCGTATTTTAAGATTTTGATTTATAAACAGCTAATTAATTATAATTAAGAAGACGCATGTAGTCAATTTTAGAAGACTAAATATTCCCAAATAGAGACTAACAGAAATAAAATTGAACATGGGGATTTTTTGTTTAATACGCTGATTACACCATGAAATGTATTCAGAAGAGGGCAAGAGGTGGAGCAAATATAATCTTTTATATTACTGTTTTCATCCTCTCTCTTAGAATTAGAAATAAGAAGACGGGAGGATGAGTACAGATTTACAAGTAAGTGAACTCTCCTCATGTCCTCCTCTGCAATATCTACCCTTAGAAATTAACATTAGAATAGGAGTTTAGTGGTGATTTGGTAGAAATGTATGAGCCAAATCCTGTTTGCTTTTATCCAGACAAGCAATCCATTGATTTTTTTTTTAAATGAGCATTTCTGACTGAAGTGAACAGAATTTGACCTTGTATATAATTCTACATAGAGGGCAGGTAAAATGTTAACTCACAAGTTTCTAAATAAGCATTTGTACAAAGTAGTAACCTTGATAAAGAGAGCGAAAGTTTAGACTTGTTTACTAAGTTTGAGCAAGGTATGCGTCCTGTCAATTTCTATCTGATATGAACTGTATGTGGCAAAGGGAAATATGAATCTCTGCCTAGTAGGTAATGCCTAATGTCAGTTTTTTGTAGCATTAATCATGCAATTAATACATTAATATATTAATCATGCGATTAATACATTTGCTACAATGTAGCTGTACTCTGAAAAGTGTTTGTCAAAATAGCATTGTCTGGTTCCAAGTTGAGGCTCATTGACACCTGGTCACATTTGCTCAGCTCACAAGTAAATTTTTTTTCCCCCTAATTGCAAACTGACTTTCAGACTAGGTTCTTTCTGGCTCTTGCACCGTCCTTCATAAGTAATAAGGCTTCTGCAATTTATAATCCTGATTACACCCGGTCAATTTGATTTTCTTAAATTACAAAATTCTATGTTGCAATTGGAACTAGTTACAATTATTTTGATGGATGAGAAGAAATGAACTCCAGCTTACTCTTCCATCTCTCTGTTGGCACTGCAGTACTAATGAATTTTAAAAAGGTTTTAAAAAATAAAGACCTCAGTTTACCATTAAATATTCACAGGCAGGTCATATATTATTATTAGGAGTTTTTATTAGGGATGTGACCGGGCCACTGGTTAACAGATAAACATCACTGCTTGCCAGTTCTGGTTAACCAGTAATCAGTGGGGCTGGTCTAATATGGGCCTGCTGTGGGCGAGGGATGCTCTCCTCCAGAGCAGTCTCTGTCTGCAGCAGGCAAGGGCTGTTCCAGCGGGGCTGGGAGCCAGCAGCCAGCCTCACCGTGTGGGGCTGAGGGCAGGAGCCCTGGAGGCTGCTGCAGTGGGCTGAAGCGGTCCCTAGCCCAAATCCCACTTTAGTCAGATCAGTTAAACATTATACGCTATGCACTTTGTTTCTGTTTTAAGTATCTTTTCAAATATGTAAAAATTTGCTTGTGGAACCATATGTGAATGCAGCGCCTCCCCTCCTCCCCCCATTTTTGTTTATGCTGTATTTCATGAAATCCTGTACTTTCATAGGTAGGTTCGCAGAACAAAGCACTGAGATTACAAGAACCATCAGTTACAATTTTATTTATGTTCTGAGCAGTAGTGTTGGACCCTACCAGTTCAAGTTAAACCTAGTTCTCAAATAGTGCTCCTATTGCTAATTTCAGAACTTCTGCAGATTGCTGGAATAAGTCCCCATGGCAATGCTTTGGGAGCATCAATGCAGCAACAAGTGAACCAGCAGATGCCTCAGGAGAAACGAGGAGGCGAAGTACTAGATTCAAACCACGATGATATCAAGCTTGAAAAAAGTAATATTTTGCTGCTTGGACCAACTGGGTCAGGTATGTAACTTAACACTTCTGAAGAGCTGAGTACTTTGGGAACAGAAACGCTAAAATATTTTGTTACCAGTTGCGTGAAGGAAAGCATGGCATAGAGGCATAGAAATGTAGGAGGGGGCAGTGTCCTCAGAAGGTCATATAATCCAGTCCCCTGTACTTAGGCAGGGCCTAGTGTTGTCTAGACCAGTGGCTCCCAACCTTTTCCAGCAATACGGACTCCTTTATTACTTATCCCGTGGATAAGGAGAACAAATTTTCATCCTCCTCTTTATAACCGTCTTTTATGTACTTGAAGCTATGATGTCCCCACCCTTACTACAGGACAGTAGAAATCACATGTAACACAAAAAGGGGAATAAAACCCTGACTTTGTTACAGCTTGTTTCCCACAGGATCTTACCTATCAATTTCCTGGGTTTGCTAAAGTTTGCCTTTTTGAATTTCATTGTCTTTATTTTGCTGTTTTTCCTCTTACAATTCCGTTAGAATCATGAATTCTAATTTCATAAAAACAATGAGCAATCCTATGGCACCTTAGACACTAATAAATGTATTGGGTCATGAGCTTATCTGATGAAGTGGGTTTTACCCATGAATGCTCATGACTTAATAAGATTGTCAGTCTCTAAAGTGTACCACAGAACTGTCATTGTTTTTAAAGTTACACACTAACAGCTTCTGAGACGTTCTATCATTTCACGATCACTTTCACCAAAGAGGTTTTCCACTTTCAGATTCTCAACCCGTTCCTCCTTATTTGTCAAAATCAATTTAGAACAGCCTCTCTGCTAGTCACACTCTCCATATTCTGTAATAAAACATCGTCTCCAACGTGTTCCAAGAATTTGTTAGACAATGTGTCTCTGCAGGCTTGTTTTCCCAGCAGATGCCTAGATATTTGAAGTCCCCTGTTATTCCAAAGTCCTGTGTTTTGAATGATTTTGTTAACTGTTGTAGTTAAAAGGAAGATATCTAAAAGGGGACAATACATGTAATATACTCTACTTGAGAGAATGAGGCAAGTTGTAAGGATGCCCCAAATAAAACTTGCAAAGCCTTCTGCATAGCTGACTAGCAAGCTTGTCTGAATGTTTCAGTTAAACACAAATCTTTTCTCTAAAGGATTAAGCTTCATAAGAATAGTAGACTCCAAAGGTGTTCATAAGACACAGTATGCTATATGAACATACCTAATATGCTGTCTTATGAAGTAACGTTTTTGTGGGTGGTGAAGGTGTTTAGATGTTGGGAATTTTTAGATACTTGATGCTTTTACATTTTGATTACTCAGTGGACCCAAATACAGAAATTGTGGCATTGTATAGGCAAGACGTGTGTGTTAAAACACTATGGCCAAAACCATCTCTAAATATTCTGTAACATCTTAAAATAGGTGTCCATTAACAGACATATTGTTTGGCAGCACATGAATCTCAAAAGACAGATTAGACCTGGGGATTACCATGAAGTAACATAAATCTATTGGTAGAAAAAGTGACTAGTAGGTTTGAAAACATTTTTGTTTTCTTCCCCTCACAATCTTTTAGACTACCACAATTCCATATACTCCTAAACTCCAACTCCCATAAATGGGCTTGACTTCCATCTATGTGGCGGAAGTTCTTGTCCTAGTCCTAGACTTAAAACCCGTCAAGTGATCTAAATATATCCTATAGAGGACTAGCTTGTATGAAGCTTCTCTACAGGGGAAAATATTGTATCAAATTCCTGTTCTTTATGGAGCTTGACAAATCAATACAAAATCTCTTTTATGGAGCTACAAAAACTTGACACAATTATTTTAGAACAAATATTTACAAAGGGTTCTTTTCAGTTAATTTATATATAATAAAGAAGTCTGGAAGCTTTTCATTTGACACATTTTTGAGGATGCTCATCAAATACAATTCTACCATGGCAGTGGATGGCCAAATTAGATCTCTAAAATTTGTAATTTTATATCCCTCAAACCCAGTTTGAGTTCCTGTTTTAAGAAATTCAGTTTCTTGTGATTCTTTTGGGCAGCTGCAGCTGTTAACAGGAAAAACAGCAGGATATAACTATATGTGTTTGTCCTAAACAAATGCTATACATCTATATTGAATCATGCTGGATTTTGAAGTTCAACTAAAAGTAGATGGAAATAGGTTTTCTTCATTGACTAAAGTTGGGATTTAATTTTGCCCTTCAGACCTGGATACTACCAGCTTATGTTTGAAGTAAAAATTCACATTACACAGGTTTAGAAGAGAGGCTCTGTACATCTGGCTGATCCAGTTGCTTTCTATTGCACTTCAGATGCGTCCAAGTATCTATAATTTCTTTCAAGCACAGGATAATGTTGACTGTAATCATTATACTAAGAGACAAAAGTACCATGAACAATTTCTATGTTCTGATAATGGTGCCTGCAAATCATATTTTAAATGTCTTTAAGTCCAAGAATACACATGGCCATCTGGTGTTACCCACAGCTACCTCCATAATGTTTATTGTGAAATGTGGTGTGGCTCATTTTGGTCAAAAATCAATTGTACTATAAAGCTTAGGCAGTTTTCCAGAACAATCATAAAAATACTTTCATAAGGCACAGCTGGCATAAGGTGGGTAAAAAGGAAACATTTCAGTTTTGACTAGGGATGTAATAGTGTCTCTGGTTAAACAATTAACTGATAAGAGAATGCTTATGGGTTAATGTCATGGGCTACACGCAACCCCCTTCGCTTCTGCGGTTCTGCATTTTAAGTATTTTGACAGCTGGCGGGCAGGCATGCTGGCTTAGTCCCGGCTCATGCCAGATCATGCAGCTACCCCCACTGCAGCTCTGCAGATCCTTTCTATGCAGAGCCGCAGTGGTTGATTGTGTAACCAACAATTTTTGCCCGCTACACGGTTACTGAATTAGATGCTTCCTAACATCCCTAGTTTTTACAGTGTCTCTCACTTGTCTGTGTAAACATGCATAAAAATACAAACTTAATAGGATATTGCTTAGTATTCTCTGAGTCAGTGTGGCTAGACCACTGTACCTGAATAAACTGATGGGGTTTGCACAGTGCTCTGAAAATTAACAGATGAATGGCAGTAACTTAACATTTCATTTATACTGACACACTGTGGCAGTATATAAACAAATGTCTGCTAACTTCAGTTTATATATCATAGGGGACCCTAAGCAAACTAATAGAATGTCATTAAAATGCATGCAGCTTGGCAGGATCAAAAGATGTCAGCATACATTGTTTGACAAAGCTAGCTTATTCAAAAAACGTTGAATGACTATATTAACATATTGGCTTCAGTTTAGCTGGTTGATGATGATGTACACCATGCTAGTGAGAGAAGATGCTTGTCTAATATACTTCCACAGAAAGAATTTATGAATATTACAAAACAAGTATTTTCTTTTAATTTTAGGTAAAACGCTGTTGGCTCAAACTCTAGCTAAATGCCTTGATGTACCTTTTGCTATCTGTGACTGTACTACCTTAACTCAAGCTGGTTACGTAGGTGAAGATATTGAATCTGTTATTGCAAAACTACTGCAAGATGCCAACTACAATGTAGAAAAAGCTCAACAAGGTAACTTGGACCATGTGTTTTCTGCAGTTTGGCCACAAAATATGCATGACTCAATTAAATACTGTGCAAGTTGGTGCCAAAAATCATGTTAATAGTTGAGCATTCTTGGGACATATACTTGAATTTTATTTCTGTTTGATAAGAATTTTAAAAACGTACTAAATTAATTTTAAAAATAGGTGTAGCAAGTTATTACTTATCCATCAAGTTGCTTATGTAACATACAGCATTCTGTAACATTGCAATAGCAATCTCTTCTATTTAAGTTAGCAGTCTTTGCTGTACAGGGATTATATTTCTGTCTTATAAATGGCATCTTTCCTAAATATATTCCTTGTTCTTCAGGAATTGTTTTTCTGGATGAAGTAGATAAGATTGGCAGTGTGCCAGGCATTCATCAGTTGCGGGACGTAGGAGGAGAAGGCGTCCAACAAGTAAGAAAACAGTTATTTTGATTTCAGCATTGTCAGTCAAATCGGTAAAGTACTTAAAGTCCCTGATTTAGTCTTGTAATGTTGCAGATACTGTACGTGTATAGACTTTTTAAATTCAATTCTAGGGTTACTTAAAAGCTTCTTAACCCTGTTCTGCTCTCTGGTCCTCTAGCCCCAGAAGATCTTCAGTGGTATTGTTTGATTAGAAAGCAGATAAGGTTGATTTCAAGTATGAAGTTACATAAACTGGAAAACACTACATGCTGTTTTTCACTTTTTCAAAAACTCTTCATACTGATGCCTTATGGAGAAATTTTGAAAACTTTTAGAAATAGTTTCTCATATGGGAAGTGGTATATAGAGGATGAGTGATTTAGGTTTTATTTCCATCTCTGCCAACAAATCTTGATGTGGCCTTGGGTAAAACTCTCAAGTACTCTGGATCTGTGGAGAAAATCCTGTTTTTCATGTTCAGTTGGTCAGTCTCATTGAATCCACTGAGAGTAGATTACAGGATTTCATATGCATTTTGTTCAAAAATTATAATGTGGAGTCTGTGTACTAGTTTTACCTCTTTGTTTTTACTTAGGGCTTGTTAAAGTTACTAGAAGGTACAATAGTAAATGTTCCAGAAAAAAATTCCCGTAAACTGCGTGGAGAGACGGTGCAGGTTGATACAACAAATGTCCTCTTTGTAGCTTCTGGTGCCTTTAATGGTCTTGACAGAATCATCAGCAGGAGGAAAAATGAAAAGGTGAGAACACATTGCTTTAGAATAACTCTTCTTAGTTGTATTAAAACAGTTCTTAGTCACTGTCTTCTTTTTGCTAATGATTTTGGGAGGATTATATGTATTTTTAGAGTCCTCTAACTACACCTAGAAAACTGAGTGTTAGTGCTAAAAAGTGAATTTTCAAAGTGTTGTATTGTCCCTTAATTTTTGAAAACTGGGTGCCTGTGTAGTTGGGGACCTGTCCTACTATCACATTTCTGCTAAGTGTAGGATACTGTAAGATATGTAAAAAGCTTGAAGCAGCACAATCACTGGAAACTTACGGAAAGTTTTTGCTGGTCAGTCTGCCAGCCATACATGCCAGTTATTACTTTTAAATGCCACACATGCACACTCACACTCCTTGATTATATTGAGTCCTCCTTACTTATCAGCAATACACAACTTTGCTCTTTTTTGAATCACATAATAAGCCTACTTTAGGGCCATATTTTTGTGTCACTTTGTTATGCTTATAAGAAGCACACAGGATTTTTTTCACAGGAAAATGCAATACGCCACATTTACTGAGAAAACAGTAGAAAACCAGTTAGCAGATGCTTTATAAAGACAAGGTGCCCCTACCTCCCCCCCAGTCTTGTCATTGCTTAAGGTTTACCAGTCTGTTGCTCTCATAAACTTACTGGCCAGGCAAGTTAAATGCGAAGGGGAGGAGCGGGCCTTCTCTCGATCTGGATTGACGCTCTGATGGTGACAAGATGATACCCGGAGATTCATGCAAAATGCTCCATCTTTTATAGGACTTTTCTCCCATTCAGGTTTATGCATTTTGCTTTGTCAGCTCTTAATCAATCACCATCTGTTCTGCTTAATATCTGTTTATCTGGGAGTCATTCTTTACTCTGACATCAGTATGTTGGTGTCTCCTTCCCAATGTTATTTCAAGGCTGTCTTGTTTGTAACAGAGTGCTTGCTTCTTAGCACTCCAAGGCCGTCCATATGTCCTCAGTCAGTCTGCTTTGCATTAGGCCTCAATTTATGGTACCTTGACGCCTCTGAGTCTTCTAGCCCCACCTCACCTCTTCCAATGTGTGGACTCTGAAACTGTTGGGCCTACAAGTTGTTATCTCTCCAAACACTCACATTCCATTCACTCCCCCCTCCCTAGGAACTACACAGTCATTCCACACATGGGAAGAGGGACACAACTGTTCATACAAAAGGTATCCATCTGTTATTGCAAAACTACTGCAAGATGCCAACTACAATGTAGAAAAAGCTCAACAAGGTAACTTGGACCATGTGTTTTCTGCAGTTTGGCCACAAAATATGCATGACTCAATTAAATACTGTGCAAGTTGGTGCCAAAAATCATGTTAATAGTTGAGCATTCTTGGGACATATACTTGAATTTTATTTCTGTTTGATAAGAATTTTAAAAACGTACTAAATTAATTTTAAAAATAGGTGTAGCAAGTTATTACTTATCCATCAAGTTGCTTATGTAACATACAGCATTCTGTAACATTGCAATAGCAATCTCTTCTATTTAAGTTAGCAGTCTTTGCTGTACAGGGATTATATTTCTGTCTTATAAATGGCATCTTTCCTAAATATATTCCTTGTTCTTCAGGAATTGTTTTTCTGGATGAAGTAGATAAGATTGGCAGTGTGCCAGGCATTCATCAGTTGCGGGACGTAGGAGGAGAAGGCGTCCAACAAGTAAGAAAACAGTTATTTTGATTTCAGCATTGTCAGTCAAATCGGTAAAGTACTTAAAGTCCCTGATTTAGTCTTGTAATGTTGCAGATACTGTACGTGTATAGACTTTTTAAATTCAATTCTAGGGTTACTTAAAAGCTTCTTAACCCTGTTCTGCTCTCTGGTCCTCTAGCCCCAGAAGATCTTCAGTGGTATTGTTTGATTAGAAAGCAGATAAGGTTGATTTCAAGTATGAAGTTACATAAACTGGAAAACACTACATGCTGTTTTTCACTTTTTCAAAAACTCTTCATACTGATGCCTTATGGAGAAATTTTGAAAACTTTTAGAAATAGTTTCTCATATGGGAAGTGGTATATAGAGGATGAGTGATTTAGGTTTTATTTCCATCTCTGCCAACAAATCTTGATGTGGCCTTGGGTAAAACTCTCAAGTACTCTGGATCTGTGGAGAAAATCCTGTTTTTCATGTTCAGTTGGTCAGTCTCATTGAATCCACTGAGAGTAGATTACAGGATTTCATATGCATTTTGTTCAAAAATTATAATGTGGAGTCTGTGTACTAGTTTTACCTCTTTGTTTTTACTTAGGGCTTGTTAAAGTTACTAGAAGGTACAATAGTAAATGTTCCAGAAAAAAATTCCCGTAAACTGCGTGGAGAGACGGTGCAGGTTGATACAACAAATGTCCTCTTTGTAGCTTCTGGTGCCTTTAATGGTCTTGACAGAATCATCAGCAGGAGGAAAAATGAAAAGGTGAGAACACATTGCTTTAGAATAACTCTTCTTAGTTGTATTAAAACAGTTCTTAGTCACTGTCTTCTTTTTGCTAATGATTTTGGGAGGATTATATGTATTTTTAGAGTCCTCTAACTACACCTAGAAAACTGAGTGTTAGTGCTAAAAAGTGAATTTTCAAAGTGTTGTATTGTCCCTTAATTTTTGAAAACTGGGTGCCTGTGTAGTTGGGGACCTGTCCTACTATCACATTTCTGCTAAGTGTAGGATACTGTAAGATATGTAAAAAGCTTGAAGCAGCACAATCACTGGAAACTTACGGAAAGTTTTTGCTGGTCAGTCTGCCAGCCATACATGCCAGTTATTACTTTTAAATGCCACACATGCACACTCACACTCCTTGATTATATTGAGTCCTCCTTACTTATCAGCAATACACAACTTTGCTCTTTTTTGAATCACATAATAAGCCTACTTTAGGGCCATATTTTTGTGTCACTTTGTTATGCTTATAAGAAGCACACAGGATTTTTTTCACAGGAAAATGCAATACGCCACATTTACTGAGAAAACAGTAGAAAACCAGTTAGCAGATGCTTTATAAAGACAAGGTGCCCCTACCTCCCCCCCAGTCTTGTCATTGCTTAAGGTTTACCAGTCTGTTGCTCTCATAAACTTACTGGCCAGGCAAGTTAAATGCGAAGGGGAGGAGCGGGCCTTCTCTCGATCTGGATTGACGCTCTGATGGTGACAAGATGATACCCGGAGATTCATGCAAAATGCTCCATCTTTTATAGGACTTTTCTCCCATTCAGGTTTATGCATTTTGCTTTGTCAGCTCTTAATCAATCACCATCTGTTCTGCTTAATATCTGTTTATCTGGGAGTCATTCTTTACTCTGACATCAGTATGTTGGTGTCTCCTTCCCAATGTTATTTCAAGGCTGTCTTGTTTGTAACAGAGTGCTTGCTTCTTAGCACTCCAAGGCCGTCCATATGTCCTCAGTCAGTCTGCTTTGCATTAGGCCTCAATTTATGGTACCTTGACGCCTCTGAGTCTTCTAGCCCCACCTCACCTCTTCCAATGTGTGGACTCTGAAACTGTTGGGCCTACAAGTTGTTATCTCTCCAAACACTCACATTCCATTCACTCCCCCCTCCCTAGGAACTACACAGTCATTCCACACATGGGAAGAGGGACACAACTGTTCATACAAAAGGTATCCATCTAATTCCTAATACAAAGCTTCTATTAATACAAACTTTTCATTCATTCATTATATTTTCTTTATAACACAGTCTGTATTCTAATTACTCCTAAGAGCAACAGTGTGATCATGCTGACTCACAAAAATTCTGATCTTTTTCGCTTTTGACATTAGATGCAATCACAAGCAGTTTTCCCAATGGATCTTTATTAAGGGCCTAGAAGACTGTTCTTCCCTGCTCACTAGAGAAGGGCGGTCAGCAGAGTTAGTTGTTTAACATTTTTTCCCACTCTACTTATTAAGCACATTACATAAAACATTATAAAACTCTGTTGTCTACAACTTTCCTATTTGCAGCAGATATTTACACTTCCAACTCCCACTTGCTTTGCTGGGTAATTTGTAAAGCTTTTTAATGTCACTTTTTATTAGAGGTTCATCTGTTTCATTTTGAAAGAGAATTTTTATTGTTGTTAGAAGGTACTCATATCACATAGCTACTTCATAATCACATTTTAATTTTGAAAAATGTATAACTTTTTCGGAGCCTATCATTAGTTCCTCCTATGTTTTAATGTCTTGCTGAGAGATCTAAATGTTGCAACAGGTTTCTGTTAATTCATACAACATTAAAATTAAAGCTCTTTATACTATATTCTTTAAACAGTTAAATTATAATGAGTGGATCATTTCAATGTATTGTCACTGGTGTATTCCAATATGCATATGCAACCAGATTTATGTGAAGCAAGTACATACCTATAGCTTTTTTGTAAACATTCAATGTTTTTCAGTATCTTGGTTTTGGCACGCCATCTAATTTGGGGAAAGGCAGAAGGGCTGCTGCAGCAGCTGACCTCGCTAACATAAGTGGGGAGTCCAATACACAACAAGATATTGAAGAAAAAGATCGCTTGTTGCGGCATGTGGAAGCCAGAGATCTCATTGAATTTGGCATGATTCCAGAATTTGTGGGACGTTTACCTGTGGTGGTTCCCTTGCATAGTCTGGATGAGAAAACACTTGTACGGATTCTTACTGAGCCACGAAATGCTGTGATTCCTCAATACCAGGCATTATTCAGCATGGATAAGGTTTGACTTTTTTTGGGGGGTCTTTTGGTATTCTTGTTATGGATTTAATGTTAAAGATTTTTCAGTATAAAGATATACTGCCTGCTTTATGCTTTAGGGAAAATATTCTCATTGTCTTATCCAAGAATGGTAAGTAATGGGAGTTAAAAAAATCCCCACTCATTTAGAGAATCCATATACATTGCCTCGGAGACTACTTTAGTTTAGTTGGTTTGGTGCCAGGAGTTTTAATTTTCAGTGATAATGAGGTTAGCAATAACTTAATACATTTATCAGGTGTCTTTTAATGAATAATGTGTACACATCTTTCTATATAGAAAAAAACCTTTTCCTGCGGGACAATAGTGACGTCATCATGTCACTCTGCATCCCACCTGTTTCCTCCCTCCCTCTCTTGCTTTTCCCCAGTACTCAGCTGCCGCTTGGGGCCTGCGAGTCCTCAGAGAGAGGTGGGGGGAGAGCCTGGCCTGGCGCACAGCGGCCAGGAGAAAAGGGGTGGGAGGGGTGAGAGAGGGCCCGGGTGGGTAGGGATGGGGAGGTAAAAAGGGCTCAGGCTGGTGGGAAGAGAAGGGGCCTGGGGTGGCTCAGCTGGGGGTTCGGGAGAAGGAGTCCAGGGGATTTGGGGGTGTGAGGGAGAAGGCGGCAGGGCTGGTGTGGGCAGAGAGTGCGAAGGGGCCCAGGCTGATGGAGTGGGGTGTGGTGTGATCGGGAGGAGAAAAGAGGACTGAGGGGGGCGGGGGGAGAGAGAGAAATGATGAGGGCTGGGGGGGGGCGGGGGGGGGAGAGAAAGGGCTGGGGCTAGCATGGCTATAGCTTGGCCCTCCCCCAATGGCCGGGGGGAGAGCTGGGTTGCCTACTCCCTGCAAGAAGGGAGTTGGTGATCCTAGCAAGCAGGGGCCGCCACCCCCTAGTGCAGGGCTACTCAACACGTTTGTTTGCAGCCTGCGGGTGGGAGCCAAAACAAAAAGTTGTCAATATAATGGTCTTCTGTTGATATGCGTTTTAGTAGTTACATTTCTGGTCTGTCATTGCTCACGAAAAGTGCTGTCATATGGGTGGAAATTGGGTAAATATCGCATTTTATTAATATCAGCAGAACTGACCTAGGACGCAACCGCGTCGTGTTGCCAGTAACTTCCATCTGAGGCCCTGAGCGTCAGTGTAGCTGCCGCTGTCATGCTGAGCGGTTGCTGTATTGTTTGTCCTGTGCTACATGTGCTGGAGGTGGTCCACGAAAATTTTTTGATTGGCCTGGTGGTCCGTGGACTGAAACAAGTTGAGAACCACTGAGTTAGCCGGATGTCCATTTATCATGGGTGTGGCCAAGTTTCCCTGGGTCCTATAAAGTTTTTCAGCCACCAGTCTTGGCTCTCAGTGTTCTGTGCTGTTTTTTAGGTCTAGTCCAATAAGCAGTGGAAGTGTTGATAATGCTGCAAGACAATTCTGGTGTCCTGTGGTTAGGCCAACTCTCTGGTTTAACACTGATCAGGTCCTGAGGGAACTGTACTAGAGAGGGTGAGGGAACTGTACTAGAGAGGGTCAACCTGTACTTAAAGATTTTTATCGAAAATTCAAACAAACTGAAAATTATCTGCATACCATAATATTGTAGTCAATTCATGACAACACAGCCCTGACAACTAGGTGCAGATTTGTCCTGTGCTTGTTTTTAATACACATTAGCATTTATATAGCCTTAATTTTCTTGTTTTACTTGCACAATCCAAGATACTTGTTAAAAGAAAGATGGAAAGTACAAGAGCAGAAGATGAGACATTTCCCAAAGATGAATAGAAGTGCTACTTAATGAACTAGCTATTTAAATAGTAATTTTATTAACTTATTTTGCAAAATGTATTTTTGCTAAAATATGGGCAAATCATTGATTTAGGAACATTACAAATGAAATATTTAATGAAGTTTACTATGTTCTTATGTACATAGTGTGAATTGACTGTTACTGAGGATGCATTGAAGGCTATAGCCAGACTGGCGCTAGACAGAAAGACTGGGGCAAGAGGTCTTAGATCTATCATGGTAAGTGTGCAGCCTTTTTTAGGGGGTATTATCAGACTCAGTAAGTGTAGATAATGTATTTTGAATGTAAGTAGTGTTCTTGGCAACACAACTTATGCTTTAAAAAGAATCTGTAGATGGGATGTTAAGATCTACAGAGTAATTTTCTTCCTAATCAAAATGGCTAGTCAGATTTCTTCTAGTACAGTATCCACTATTATGAAGGGAGACTCAGAACTGCTTGTGTGCAAGTCATTGTATACCGTCTTTTTTGTTTTTGCTTTTGTGTGTGTAATACTGTTCTCTTTGCTTGTAGGAAAAGTTGTTGCTGGAGCCCATGTTTGAAGTACCCAATTCTGACATTATATGTGTGGAAGTTGACAAAGAAGTTGTGGAAGGCAAAAAAGAACCAGGATACATTAGGTAACATAGGAACTGCAATTACAGAACAGATTAATAGTCTAGACAGTTTTCTTTATAGCTGTCTGTCAGTCTTTGCTTCATCCAGGTGGTTTTTTTAAACAAAATAAAATTCTCCATACATACCTGTTCCAAAAATAATCTTCTGACTTCGTGTTGTATACCATACATAGTTGGTAGGTACAGGGCACTTAATGGATATTCTGTACTACTGATGTTTTATTTTTATTACTATTGTTACATATTGTATTTTAAATCTAAAACATTATTTTGTAACTTAAATTTAAATGTATTACATTATTCTTAACTCTTCCCACTGTGTGTGTGTTTCTTTAGAAACAGAACAAAAAGTACATGATGAGTTGTGAATATATCACTAAGGCTATTTAGATGAGTGGGGGTATGGAATTTGGTTGGAAATAGCTGAATTTGATTAACTAGGAAATAGTTTCGTGTTTCAAAATATATTTGATATAATTTTTCACATGGCAGAGTATGTTTGCCAACGTGATGAAAAAAGTGGCATAAAAAGTGGTCCTGCAGGTAGGTGGCTGATTGGCTACATTTCCGTTGGAAATTACTACTTTAATTCTGCTAAGATTTAATGGCTTTATTAGACCTGGGATTTTTCCTCTTAGTCTAAATAGATGATATGACAAAGGGAGGAACCGACAGTCTTGTGTTTAACATGCAGGACTAGGAGTTAGGTTTCCTGGTTCCTGTTTCTGGTAAGATTCCTTGTGTGACCTTCAGGAAGGTGCAGAGCTTCTGTACCTCAGTTTCCTTTTCTGTGTAATGGAAATATAACACAGCACTAGTAGATTTCCCTCTAGCTGGACATTTATTAGGTTGCTTTGTTGAGCCTTGTGCACTGAATCCATGTGTTCTAAAGCTTCCCTTGGTCTCTAAGCAGCAGCACAGTTTCTCTTGTTGGCTTCTTGACACCTTTCCTGTGTACACATTTTTTGTTACTCCTTGGAAATGGGATCGTGTGGCCAAGTTGTCCTAGCCCAGTATCCTGTCTTGCAATGATGCTAGATGCTTCAGAAGGAATGAACATAACAGGGCAATTATTGTGAGATCCATCCCTGTTGTCCAGTCATAGCACCTGGCAGTTGCAGGTTAATGGACAGCCAGAGGCAGGAACCAGATTGCATCCTGACCATCTTGGCTATAGACACTTATCTAATTTGAAACCAGTTATAGTTTTGGCCTTCATAACATCCCCCGGCAAAAAGGCAAAGGCGTAGCAGGGGGCTGCTGATTCCCGGTTCGCGCCCGGTCCCACATGCTGCACCTCTGCTTTTTAAATGTATTAAGAGCCTGCTGGCTCTTAAAAGTCAGAGCTGCAATGGGGTTAGCTCCTGGGCCGGGAGCTGACCCTACTGCAGCTCTGCAGTTCCCCCCCTTATTGACTAATTGAGTAGCTGATGGAAATTCCATCAACTACTCGATTAACTGATTACCCGCAGTTTAACATCCCAAGTTGCAGTACAGATGGCTGTGGACCCCACTATTTACCTCTCCACTCTGAAAACTGACTATTTATCCTTACCCTTTGTTTCCTGTCTTTTAACCAGTTACTGATCCGTGATGGGACCTTCCCTGTTATCCCATTGCACCTTACCTTGCTTAAAAGCCTTTGGTGAGGGACCTCGTCAAAGGCTTTCTGAAAGTTCAAGTCCGCGGTATCACCCTTGTCCACATGTTTTTTGACCCCTTCAAAGAATTCTAATAGACTGGCGAGGCATAATTTCTTCATAAAAGCAATGTTGTCTCTTCCCCAAAAAACTGTTAATCGATGTGTCTGATAATTCTGTTCTTTATTGTATTTAGATTTAATTGCAGGAAAAACTTCCTAACTGTGAGAATAGTAAAACAATGAAACAGACATCTTGGGGAGATTATGGAAGCTCCGTTGCTGGAGACTTTCAATCGGAGGCTGGATGGCGATTTGTCTTGGATGATTTAGACACAATAAAGCTTGCATCTTGGCAAGGAGTTAAACTAGATGACCCTTGCCGTCCATTCTAACCCTATGATTCTATAGTTTCAACCAATTTGCCTAGTACTTAAGCTGGGGTTACCAGCCTGTAATTACAAGATTGTCTCTGGGGCCTTTCTTAATAATTTGCATTACATCTAAGTTCCCTGAGGCCACGCAGTTGCCTAGTTAAAAACATTGTGCAGATACCCAAGGCAGGAAAGAGGGCTGCCTCACCCCCAACTAGCCTGGCCGCCAGCCTGCTGTGGCAAGGGGAGGGATGGCCTTGAACCCAGCACTTCTCTCCTGGCCCAAATGCAACTGCGACCTGGCCCATGACCCCTCCTTCACCCTTCTGCACCCCACCTTCTTCTGCAGCTTACATACCACATTTGTTAGTTCTACAATTTCATATTTGAGTTCCTTCAGAAAATGTGGTGAATACAATGTGTTCCTGGTGACCTATTACTGTTTAACTTATCAATTTGTTCCAAAACCATCTCACATTAACAACTTAATCTGAGGGACTGTCCCGGATTTCACACCTGAAAAGAATGTTGGGTGTGGGAATCTCCTTCACATTCTCTGCAGTGAAGAATTCATTGAACTTCTCTGCAATGACTTCCCCCAGAGTACTTTAGGTACTGTGGTTTTACAAGTCGCCCCTTCAGGGACATGTGAGAAAAACAGACCCTTCCACAGGCTTTATATGGGTTTGTAAACACAATTACTTTTTACTTGGATGGAATGAGAGGTGGATCTAGACACTATAATCTGTATGCCTTTCCCTGTCTGTTTCCTCTCCACTCTAGAGCATTCCTAGGCTTAGGACAGTTTTCTGGGGTATTCTTCTACATGTGGCTTCTCAAAATCATAGTGTGTCATTCTTCCCCACCCCCCTAAGGCAGCTAGCTTCCTCATCCTCAGCAGATCCATCAGTAAAAGAGGGCCCTCTGCTACAAAGGCATGCCCCTGTCCATTGCTTTGTCCAAAAGCCTGCCCTTGGTTCTACCTGAGAGTCCTTTTTAAACACCTGCTACGTCACCCCGATATCTGTCATCTTTGGGGATTTTCCACTTGCCTTTCACTGCAGAGAAGTTTAGTCAACCTATTGTCCCACTTGAATGGGCACCCCATTAAGGTTTTAGGAGCTGAGCACCATCACTGATGTAGCATGTACATGACTCTACCAACTCTACCAACTGATGTAGCATGTACATGACTCTACCAACTCGTGACTGACTCATTACACCAACAGTTTGAGCTCTGGGATTTGGAGCTGCACCATCAGCCAATGCCTAGTATGCAGAGGATGCCATGTTGCTTCACACAGCATGACCTGGCATGCCTGGTATGAGTGAAGTCAGGCTGTGCTGAGATCACTATTTTGCTCTTTCAAAATGGCTGTCTGGGATCCCAAGGAGAAAATTATTTAATTAAAGAGCATGACATCTTCAGTAATAGTTACATTAATAGAAAATGTCCTGTAAAATAACTGGCAGCCTGTGATGTTTATTGGAAAGTTAAACTTCACCCTGTAGATCATTTCTGGTTGTTGGATTTGTGATAAGGAATGGCACAGAAGGAAAAATTATCAAGCAAATAAAATAGGGTTTAATCAGTGAATTACCTTCCCAAGAGACTTTTGAGAACAGTATTTAAAACACCACATTATGTTCTATCCAACTTGAAATAATGCTTTATGGAGTACTGGTCTGTCAGGAGCCATGGTAATCCTACCTGGATGCTCCTCTCAAAGTGGAAAATATGTGATCAATTCTTTTTAATTGTAGGGCTCCAACTAAAGATTCATCTGAAGAGGAGTATGACTCAGGAGTTGAAGAAGAAGGCTGGCCTCGTCAAGCAGATGCTGCAAACAATTAAATAGTGTCAGTGTTCTCCTGCATATTGTGTGCTTGGTCATTTTTAAGATCATTATCTGGCATTCTAGTCTGATAATAAAAGCGTTGGAACTATCCTGGATATATAATACATGGTCAAAAAACTTGGATTTTTAAAAAATCAGATCATGTATTTTATTGTAACATCACATTGATTTATTCAGAGGACATTATTTGGACTTTAATAGCATAATGTTCAAATATAAATTGTACATTATGTTCAGTTTTTAAATGTGCTTTAACAAAAATTCTAGAATACAATAAAGATGTTACTTAAAAAATGCAGGTGTCACCAATCGTTAAATTGTACAATAATGTTACTCTATAAATGGGCAAACAAGTTTAATATAAAATAGAGGATAACAAAACTATTAATTTTGCATATATTTCACTCACGTGGGTTAAGTTCATTCACTGTAAATGCCAGTGTTAGGTTTATGTCCATTTGGAACCCAAATGGATGCTGGAGAGACTTGTTACATTGTCATGAAAAATTCCCCAGAAACTGGATTTTGAGAAAAAAATACACATGTTATGCAACTAGGCTAAAATGTAACACTAAATTGTTATAATAATTGGCTGCAATACCATGTCATATTATTTACTTACCTTAGCATCACATGTAGGTTTTAATGGACCTTTCAAATACTGAGAGCAAGTGGAACTAGAAGTCTGAATTTCTTTTGGAAGGAAACAATTTACAGGAAGTAGTAGACCATGGATTCAGATATTACAATGTTGGCCTAAAAATTTAAATATTAATGTTCTATATAGTACATTTTGTTTGAAGTATTGGAACTATCATGCATCAGTTTTTTGGTGCCAGATATTTGCCCACCTATCTTATAACATTAAGAGAGAAAAAAAAAGTGAATGTATAGTATTTTTGATGTAATCAATAGTGACTGTTCACATGACAGTGCTTTTTTAAGTTATATGCTTAAATGCTGGTGTTGCTTCTTGTGTTCTTTGTCGCTTGGTTTTAGAGTTTCAGCAAAGCAAAAAAGCCCTAACTTTGTTTTACACTCTAATTAACTTGTTCCTTTAGGAAAGTATTTGTAAAGCACTAAAGGACTTGTATGTTTTTGATTATTTCAGAAATTAAAATATATGACAACTACATCAATGTTTTGTTCTTCCTAGCAATATGTGGCTCTAAATTATGGTGATTTCTGTTAATTTTTTAGTCAAACTAGATAAATTGCATTAACACTTACAGTTTTTAGTGTAGGAATACTGTGAATGTTTTAGATCAGAATGGGTACAGTTATCTTGGTCCCATGCCTTCATGTCTTCATAGTTCAAAATTAACATGGGTTTAAGTCAGTCAGGCAGTATGTGCATGCTTGTATAGAACAGATAAAATACATTGATTTTAACCAGATGCAACTGAATTGATGTTGCAATTTCTGTTTTCTTCTGGTTAAACCAATAATGGTTCAGGAAAGGCTGCTCTCAGGGTTCAGGAGACTTCCAGGAAAAGCAAGCGTACTTAGTTTACTGTAGATTCTCATAGAGAATGATCAAACTTCCAATTTTCGTAACTTTATTTTCCTTTTACAGGTAGTAGACTGAAAATTCAAATAGCTTTTAATTCTGTTAAATCATCTTTGAAATGATTAAGGAATATTTTTAGTGAAAGGCATTGAACAACTTAGTTTAATATGTAATCAAGAAATGTTTTAAAACGTGTAACTACGATTTGTACTTCAAAAGTAGGTTTGGTGTTTCAATAAAACAAAGCAAATAGTCATGAATTACATATGTTTCTGTAGATAAAGCATGAGACTTAAGTAATGGCACAAAGTAATTAACCATTCGGAAAAATGTTTTGAGTTATGGTCAGGATCTTCATTAAAAAGCTGAATTAAGTTATATATGTATATATTGAGCTTTTTCAGTTGTCTATTTTAAGACCATATTGAATATTCCTAATAGAATGGTGCTTTGGAAACTATGCAAGTTAATCATGACTTTTCATATTCTTAGAATGGAAAGGTACATATAATAAAAGTACAATAAAAAGCAAAATAGCTATAACGTGGGCGAATGAAATGCATTTTGCATAAATAGCCTGTGGTGGTTATTGTCAGATAAATGCTTCCACTAACTCAATTAAAAAGTTACCTAATTATAGTAGCTTCTGAAGGGCCATCCTTTTGCATCTTCATGCTCATTTGAAACCTTGTTATCAAGTTGATACTGTGGGGAGTGAGGCTAATTAGAGCTGCCTTCTATATAGTCAGTTATGGACAGTAATTGCCTTATTGCAGCAGTTGTCTATTTGTTATGGGAGGCCATGCCAAGATTTTAGGAAATGGTTAAAGGCTGCACTTTTCTAAGAAGAGGATGTGGGGTCTGAGATGAAGGTTGGGTGCAGAAGGGAGTTTGGGGTAGGAGGCTCGAGTGCAGGAGAGGGTATGGGATCTGAAAGGGAGCTTGGGGTGCAGGGTCTGGGAGGAGGTAAGGGAGCAAGAAAGGATTCTGGCCTGGAGAAGGGATTATTGGGTGTGCAAGGTCTGGGAGGGAGTTATGACCTATGGGAGGAGGGTGCAGAGGGATTGGGTGATGACCTGGGCAGGAAATGACCAGCAGGCATTTACCTAGGCAGTTCACAGCCAGCAGCCCTGTCCCAGGCTGTTCTAAGGCTGTCCCAGGCTGTCCCAGACTGCTCCCTGAGGCTCTCCGCTGCAGCTGCCCAGGGGGAAGGGGAAGCAGCACACGCTGCCTCACCTCCTAGCAAAATCACTTAGCTCCAGTTTCTGGACAATAGCAGCTGAGATATTTTTGTTAGCGGATGGGGACAGCATGCAAAGCCTCTCCCTCCCCTTGGTGCCTGGAGTAGAGAGCTATGGGAAGCTTCTGGCTGCTCTGTGCCTGAGGTTCCTGGTTTGGGGCTGCTCACAGGTTGGATCCGGAGGCTTGTGGGATGGGCCATATCTAGCTCTGTCATATCTAGCCCTCTCTTATTGAAAGGCTTGCTTTATCATCTGTTTGGATACTACTAAACCCAGGGAAATACCTGTTTTGAATGAAAGCACTGTGGCTACATCTACACTGCCAGTTTTGTGGGCTGTGAGCATGCAAATGAGGTGTGGATTAGCATATTGATGTGCAATTTGCATAATTTATGCAAACTCTTTGCACAAAGGGTTTTTGCAGGAAAAAAAATTAGCGTGGACTGGGTTTTTCCCGCAAAAACCCCGTTTTGCGTAAGATCCTTATGCCCCTCCGGGAGAGGCGTAAGGATCTTGCGGAAAACGGATTTTGCGCAGAAACAAAACATCCACACTACTTTTTTTTCTGCAGCGATATGCTAATCTACACCTCATTGCAAAACCGGCAATGTAGACGAAGCCTGGGTGTCCCAATAGCAGTAAGTCTAAATGACTGCATAAGTAAAGATCAGTGCTTTTTTTTGTAAAATGCACCAAACCAATGACTGAGGGAAAAGTATGCATATGTAAAACTCTTCCCTTCTCACATTGTATTAGTAATTGTGGAAGTTACCTGTGTCAGTTCCTTGCACCTTGATGGAAGGAGTCGCATAACTGACCACTTTAAGGTCTAGGAAAAGATGCTCCAGTTGGCTTTTTGCTAAGAGTTTTACACGCTTTGTTTGTTCATTACTCCTGGGGACATGAATATGTGAAGGGAAATTCTAGGAACCCATTGGAGAAGGCTTTCAGCAGGCTTCAAAACATTTAGTACTAAACCAAACCAGTTCTGTGCTGTTGGGGATAGAGAAATGGAAATGGTTCAAGTAAACTCTCTCCTGCCCACTGTTTCATTTAGTGCTGTCTGTGTAATCCCAGTTTTGCAGCTCCTGGAAATACCTAGGAGTAGTAAATGGGATTTATGGGAATGGGATAGATATCAATCTGCTTTGCAGTGCAAAGATGTAGAATAGCAGGACTGTGGCTGGGTCCAGCGAACCAACAGCAGAGCAGTTCTTCAGCTGCCATTTTGGCAAGAAGGGACAGATTGAAGCAGCTGAGATTAGACTGTACTAGTCTAAACACATTGTTGATCACTTATCTGGAGCAAACAAGTCCATACTAGGAGCAACAGTGTCAATGCATGTATTCTTATTTGGCTATATTATGTAATGCATTTTGTAACAGTCAAATAATACAAAATGTCCATTTGTAAATTACCTCTTCTGTGCATTGATTCTGCTCCTCCTTGTGACATCCTCATACTGTTACTGCCTCATCTGCATACAGGCAATAACTGCTGGGTCATGGGAAGAGGATTTGCACTGAAGCAGCTGGCAGCGCAGGTGATATATTGAGACCAGCTGTGTAGCCCCATTTGAACATTGTGACTCTAGCTGATCAACTCCAAGGTGGTGTCAAAGCAATGCCATATATATTAAACCCTATCTCATGCCTGGTCAATTTCACTGCCAAAGGCTTTCAAAATGTGAAATTGACAAATTCTCAAATGTTTACATCTGAAATTTCACTGTAAACATTTGAGAATTTGTCAATTTCACATTTTGAAAGCCTATGGCAGTGAAATTGACCAGGCAAAAGAGCTGTGTATAGAGTGAAGATGGGTTGTAGCAAAGGTGTTGTAAGAGGGTTGGGGGATTGCTACCCTCACTTTGTGCTGCTTTCAGTGCTAGCCTCTGAAGGCTGCAGCACTTGAGCAGCTGGCATCTGCTCTCCCAGCAGCATGGAGATGACTCACCTCTGCTACTGTCAACCTCTGGCTGCAGGATGCTACAAGCCAAGTCTCAACCTGGAGCATCCTGCAGCTAGGGTTGGTTCAAGAAGGTGTGATACATCCCTGAATGGTAGCTGCACAGAGGCAGAGTAAGTCCCACACTTCCCCCACCTGGCAATGTAACAGCCAGAGCTGGGCCCGTAACAGAAATGGCTGGAGAGCCCCTCATCCTACTGTGTATGAGGTCAATGATGAACAATACGCTTAAGGAGCAACCTACAGAACCCTGCTGTGCTGCAGGTTCCCCCAACCTGGTTTCATTTGTGTGTGTGCTGCAATGTGGGAACCCTGCCAGCACGCTGCAGCAGAAGCTTAGGGCTGGCCCAGGGATTTAGAAATGACTGTTGCTGACAGTAGCCAATGCCCGCCAGGCCCTGGACTGAGCAGAGGGGCAGAGGCCCTGTACAAACACCACCTGCGTGTTCTAATCCAGGCAGTCAGGCCCCTTGCTTGGACTGTCTCCTCCACGTGCGTAGGGTCCTGGTCGAAGTCAGGGCTCTGCTCCCTCCCCCCTCATCAATATTCAAATTCTCCTACGCAGCCACCCCACGTGACGTGTGCGCAGCCCTGCCCCGCCTCCTCCCCGCCCCCC